GAAGAGGGGCCTGAAAACTGAAGGCTCTGCCTCCCATTCTACTTTTAAATACTCTAGGAACAACAAGTAGGCCTGCAGAGCGAGAGCGAAGTGCTATAGACATATAAATAAACTGATATGAAATAATTAAATGAAAAACAGTCAGTTTCCTTGATATCGTTAAATTCACCTCAAGGCAGAGCCAGACAGGAGTAGTCTTTTATTGCTTTGTCACTTTTCAGCCTCAGTCAGACAGTGAGGAGGTGAATGTGTCCTGGATTTTAACCATTGTATAGTCCAGTGCTGGGTGGGTTACAGTTACTGTGTGTGTGTGTTTATGTGTTAGGGCACGATAAGGCTCTAACAAAGCAGAAAATCGATTCTTTCAGGCCTCTGGCTTTGCTCACACCCCCATCATCACCCTGGGTCGTTAATCTGGGACTTTACATATGGGTGTTAATTATCCAATTCAGTGCAGGATGCCTCTGTGCATCACCCACAGCTCCCTTCTAACTCTCCTCACCTCCTCCTTATCCCCTCACAGGAGCCCCTGCATGAACAGTTTGTCCCTGTGTTTGCCTTTGAAGTGGATGTGACCTAGAAATGAAAAGCCACACAAAGAGTAGATGATGAGAGGGAGGAAAGTGTAGCCAGAGTTTGTCTTTTTCTAACCCAGTTTATTAAAAACGTGAGCATGAGAGATGTTTGGCTCTGTTACACTGTGCCTTTCTCTGCCTGCAAGTATAGCTATGAGAGGCCAGAGCCAAACGAACGTTTCTGTAAACTTAATTCAACAAGTTGTTTTTTGGTTGTGTCTGTATGCTTACAGTCTCATGGGCTCACGTGCCTTACTGCTATCTCACAGAACTCCACGTACATCTCACCTGATTTCGATGTCTGTTTTTACACTCATTCAATATTCTCACCCAAACCTTCTTTTACTTTGCTCAGTGAGATTTACTACATTTAGAAGTCAGCAAACAGGAATTGCACTTGGACATTCAATCAATTAACAACTAAGAAATTCCCCCAGCTGTGGTGTACGTCGGTCTGTTTGGCAACATTTTTATAGTCCTTGTCAAACGTTTTAAATTGAGAGGTCCTTTAGCAGTCTGTATTCTGTCATATGTAGAAGCTCATTTCTACATGTTTAGTGTTTCTAGAGGTTTTGCTTTAATCCCCCATGAGGCGTGATGCAAATTCCATCCTATCACATTTGGATTGGTGTCTGAATATATGCTGTTATTCCATTGGCCTATATTCTCGACACTCCATATCCCAACCCCCATCATACCTCCACCTCCTAAAAACGATCTGTCTTTACTAATCCTGCCTCCACCAGCTGTTTCTCCTGTCTGCAGTGCACAGAAGACACATCGATCCAATGTCTGCGGTGAACACATTTGAATTCACTTGTTGTGCCAACAGAAATGCACATCACAGAACTGAAACTTGCACCATTAGAGTTTATTTCAGAGCCTAATAAAAACGTGTTTTCCTCTCACAGGCCAACCTGTGTTTTGTGGATATTGACAACCACTCCATCGAGCTTCCAGAGGACTTCCCTCAGTTCCCAAACAAGACCGAATTCATCCAGGAGCTCACTGAGGTGTTATTAAGCTTTGGCTTCTCTGCCAACACTGGCGCCCCGCCCCGGACCCGCTCCAGTCCTGGCAGCACCTCGTCCACCCCAGGAAGGGAACGCAAATCCGCCACCCTTCGACAGCTAGAGGACGATGGACGTAATGGCAATCTGGCAGGAGAGGAGTTAGTGGTGCTGGAGCTGCTGCAGGGAAATGCTACGCTGGAGAGACTGCAGGCACTGACTAAACGCACTGGGGTGACTGTGGCACGTGTGGAAGCCCTGAGAGCTGGAGTCAAAGGTCAGCCCACCGACGGAGGGAACCAAACAGGAGGTGAAGAAGAGGAGCTAAGGAACGCCAAACTGAACGTTCAGCTGAGGGAGGTGTTCGCCAGCCGCTTCACTACCATGTTTGCAGACTATGAATCGTTTGTTATCCAGAGCGCTCCTGATCTGGAGTCCTGGCTCACCAACAGGGAGCAGATGCACAACTTTGACAAGGTGATCAAGGTTTTCTTTCCCGTTGTGCCTCAGTCGGAAATATGTTTGTAAAAAGGTCGTACCTTATTGGAAAACAAGTGTTGTACTCAACGTTTTCATGGTATTTGTAAAAGAGGCATTTTGCCTTTGTTAGTGAATCATGGGACTCAAAATAAAAAGGCATCCTTTTTTTCCAAGTCCCAAGATGTTTTAGTTATTATTAGACAGAAGTACAAAATGATATCAAAAGAACATGAGGCCAAAATAACAAACAAAGCACAATATAACCAAGAAATAACTGAAAAACAGCAGCTTACCTCCCTAAAATGACATAAACAGGAGGAAACAGTTTCAAAATAAGTTGTAGTTCATCTCACTTGGTAGTGATTTAAAAAGCAAAAGAACAAATGGAAAGAAGGGCATATCTAAGGGAAGGACAGTGGATCATAAGAAAAGCCAGAGGATTTATCATGAATTAGCTGGAGATCATCCATAATTGGAAGAAATGATAGCGTAGTCTCTTTGGACTCTCTTTTCTTTGTTCTGTTTGTTTGTGAAACCTGTTAGTTCCTGTTACTGTTTCCTATTAAAGTATTTTATGTAAGAATGGACAGTATTTTAAACTGGAGAATCAGTCTGCATATTTTCAGTCAATGTTTAGTGCTGATTAGACTTATTTATTTCATTGTGTTGTTTTCCTTTCTGTTAAAATTCTATATTTACATTTTCCTGGCATTTGTGGTTTAAGGCTAGCTTTGTTTATTACAAACAAATTGTTGTCTGACAGTGGGCTCTTTCTCCCTGTGCTTGCCGTAGGGGATTGTTTTATAGTTGAGGTTTTTCTATAATATTGTGCTGTCTTTACCTTAAAATCTAAAGTTACTAAAGATGCTATATAAATGACATTGAACTGCACAGTACTGAAAATACATATGCTCTTGTGAACAGGCTTCATTCCTGTCAGACCAGCCAGAGCCCTACCTTCCCTTTCTGTCTCACTTCATCGAGACACAGATGTTTGCCACCTTCATCGACAACAAGATCATGTCTCAGTGGGAGGAGAAGGAGCCTATGCTCCATGTCTTTGACACTCGTATTGACAAGGCACGCCTCTATAATATCCGTGCTCCCAGTCTCCGGTCGTCCTGCTACCAGAGGTGCTCCATCCTCAAAGAGTCTGGTAAGCTCAGATGGGGACGTGTGTGAGAGATTTATTTCTGTGTGAACATGGTTCAGATTGTTGGTTTGAGAAGCATGTGTTGTGAAAATGAAAATATTCCAGGCTAATTAACTTTCTCACTGAAGTGAAATAAGTCTTTTCAGTGCCTGCTTTCAGTGGAAGAGTTGTTATATGTAAGTAATGTTTGCTCAGAGATTATGCAAAAATGTTGATACATGTCTTTATATTTTGCTTATGAAATGGGAATTAGCTCAGTGATTGATGCAAAGTTGCAGTTACCATGTAAACCATGTACAAACATAGATGGAAGATGTTTGTACAGCTCTTATCAAGTTTGAAAGCCAATCTTTATTCTTCATCACAGCTTGTTTTGGAATTTCTTTCAATATTCTTCAGGAATAGTCATCCAGACTCCTTGAAGGACATGCTACAGCTCTTCTTTGGATGTTGTGTGCCTGTTGTTACTTCTCTGTCAACATAATCCCATACTGCTTCAGTAATGCTGAGGTCTGTGATTGTTGTCATGCTGAAAGATGAAGTTGTTGTCTGTTAACCCTTTAAAGCCGGTCGGAGCAGCACGCTCCGTTTTGCGCAACTATTTTTAAATCCCAGTAGCATTTTGCGGAAATGTAGTTTTTTACCATCAGGGCCTCATGAGCCTATACTGGTGTTTTTAAAAGTTATGTTTGACTTTATGACTTTCTGTGTCGTTTCTGGGATGCTGAGGACTCATATTGCACTGCTGGAAATAGTTTATTTTGATGCACATGCTGTTTTGGTTTTTTTTGCAAATTTGCAGTATAATATTTATTTTCGTTTTTCCTGCAGTATATAAAAATTGGTGTATTTCAAAAATAAAACTATGAAGACACTTAAAATAAATTTCCTGTGGTGAGAAACTATTTTTGTATTTACAGTTTTGAGGGATAAGCCTCTTAAATTTCTCTAAGTAGAAATATATGTTAAAAAACAAAAATGAATTTAAAATTTTTTGTAGTTTATTGCACTTTTGCAATTTATGTAATATCTATGCACTTAATGCAGACATATTATTAAAATTTGGGCTATAATGGTTGTATTGATGTATAGCAACTTGAAATGCTCCCAAAAATGGCTCCACAGCATGTAAAAATAGAATATAAGCTCTGGCAGACTTGGTTCTATGGCAGGTCTTAAAGGGTTAAACACTGTCCAGATTGTGTGGTGGATAAAAATTTGACTGTACTTTGTCACTTTCATAATTCCATTTGTTTAGATAAGATCATCTTCACACTGGCTGAAATGCAGCCCTGCACCATGACAGAACCGCAACCACAGCATAGTTTGGCAAAGCGCAACATTTTCTTCCTGTTTCCATTAGAAATGGACCGATCCGATATTACGTATCGGTATCGGTCCGATACTGACCTAAATTACTGGATCGGATATCGGAGAGAAATAAAAAAACTAATCCGATCCATTAAATATCACGAAAGCACCTCACAAAACTTGTGACATGGCTTAACTCTGCTCATAACCGTAGCACGTCGGAGCAGTATGCATCACGGGATAGAGCGGCTGTGGCGTGTGAGACCTGTCGGTGGTCTGGTTGAGCATTTCATCTCCGAGGAAGTTATCTCAGACAGAAGTAAAGCAAGTGTGTAAGGACATCTCTGTTTGTAAAGCATTCCCACGTTAATCTTAACAACCGATATATGGAGCGACTGCCTCCCCCTCCCTCTCCTGCTGCTACTTTAATCATGAAACTGATCAATGATCAGCTGATCGGCTTTTCTGTCGTGAGTCCGTCTCTCTCGTTTGTTTATCGCCCACTTCTCACCAGAAAGAGGAAACCAGCGGCTGAACAACAGCAGCACGTTTAAGCTTGATCAGCTGTTGTTAGAATGTATTTAATATTACTTTCTACTCCAGGATCTTTTTCTACGCAGCTGACGGCTGTAACTGTGCAGGGGCGGATCTAGCAAAGTTTAGCCAGGGGGGCCGAGAGGGCATGAACAGGGAAAAGGGGGCACAAAGTCATACTTTTCTTTCTTATTCTCATTTAAAATGTCGAGCTTTTAATAAATAATTATCTGAATCTTACACCCAAAGTTTTAATCTGATGTAAAATATATCCTAGTAAGCTATAGTACTTTTTCCTTTGGGAAGGTACCTTCTGCAGAAGAAAGATGTTGAATCTATTTAATTATTCTTGGAAAATAATTGATTTCTGTGCATTTTTTTTCACACTGCATCAAATTAAAGTTGATTACGTCGATTAAGCATCATGAGGTGGAGGGTGGGTGGTTCCCTATTTTTTATTTATTTTTTTATTTTTGCTGGGAGTTGGAACCCTATTAGTTAGGTTGCTTAATATTTATGCTAAGTACTCTTTAAAATACCAGAATAGGGAGGATGGTGTAGGTTTGAGTTTATTAGATTGATCAGTGTTGCTGAACTATGAAATATTTTGGGTGCAGTGTGTGTTTTGCATACAGGTATAACAGAGTAGCTTTAGTGTTTGTTTTAACTTGAGTATGAACTTATACAAAATGCAGCAAGATATAAAAAAAAACAGTTTTATTGATTAAAAACACTATATCGGATTCATATCGGTATCGGCAGATATCCAAATTGATGATATTGGTATCGGACATAGAAAAGTGGTATCGTGCCATCTCTAGTTTCCATACTTCAGTTAATCCATGCACTGTCTCAGTGGAAGAATATTTGTTAAGCAGCCATTCTGAAGGGCAGGTCTTTGCTGGATTTCTTCCAGTTTCTTTAGGATATATATTTTGAGATGCTATTCATCTGCTGCAGATTATTTTTAGTCCTTTTGTCCCCCTCTCTAGTTTTTTTAAAAACACAACTAACAGCTCTTTGGGATCTTTTTGATGCTGCAAAAGACGATGTAATGCCTGTCAAACTGTGATTCAACTATAGAAATGAAAAATAAATTATGAGTTTTTGCAAAGCGTAATGGTATCAAAGTCCTAAAGACACAAATTAAAATTGGTTCTTTGCTAAGTTACCCATTAATCTGTTGTCTATTCGTCGTTGTCAGACAGTTTTAAAGTGCATTACCTCTGCCTTTGTCCGTAGTAGCTTTTTGAATCCTATCAGGCACCTGTCTAAAAAACTGTCTTGAGGCAAAGTTTCTCCCCCTTTATGACCATTTAAAACATATAAACTCATTATTAACAACTGCAAAGAATAATAACCTGGCCTTGTCTGGAATTTCGCAACATTTAGAAGACAATAAGGAGTAGTCTCTATCAGACCAGTTGTTGCTTCTAGAAATAATACCATGGATGAAGTGTGGGCTGGTGCCTTGGTAGCATGCTACAAATGCAGGACATGACACAAGAATTAGAAAAAAAGCAGGGAGCCCAATGTTGGTGTTCTTCTGGTTTCCTGCCAGTTCTCATGATCATTGCTGAGATCGACAACAGTGGCTTATGACTCTTCACATGTCGGCTCAAGATAACGCTGTTTGTACGAGTGAGCTGCCGTGGCTCAGTGTGTTCAGTGATTCCCACTTCCATGCACTAATAGGCCAGTCCATGTGAACTGCAGTTGCCAAGGGTGACTTCATTTGCAATGGTCTGCATACTTAATTATGCAGACAATGGACAGGCCTTTCCTCTGCCTGCCTCCCTCCAGTGCCTCCACTCAGAGAACACGCCACCTGCTCTCTGAGGACTTCAGTCAGAGACAAACACAGTATAACCACATGACAGATGAAGATGGAGTGTGTTTGCAGTCGCTGCTGTTGATGATGTTTAATCTTTAGAAGGATCAACAAGTAAGAGTCAGTCAGACCAGGTCTCTATAGAGAATGAACCACAACGTCATACATCATGCTGTGATTTAATATATAAACAGCCTGTTTTGAAGTGCAGCCTAGAAGTGACACAGAATAGAACAAACAGGAAGCTGAGTCACTCTTTGCAGCAAAACTTATCTGTGAAGGACGGCGACATGTCACTCAATGTCTTACATCTTAATTGCAGTTTTTTTCCAGTGTTGTGTGCGTGCGTGCGTGCGTGCGTGCGTGCGTGCGTGCGTGCGTGCGTGCGTGTGTGTGTGTGTGTTCAGATAAGATGCGATCTAGATGGTGGAATCAGTAAACACATAAACCCATATGCATGCCTGCAGCGTTTAAATCTGAAAACCTTCGGTAATGTGACACCTACTGGAATTCTCCAAATGCCATGATGGTTTCACGTCCTTACAGCGTTGTCTGAATCTGTACCGTCTTTTGTTTAGCTCAGGCCATTGAGCAGCGGCTGATGAAGATTGACCACACGGCCATCCACCCACACCTGCTGGACATGAAGATCGGTCAGGGGAAGTACGAGCAGGGGTTCTTCCCCAAACTGCAGACCGAAGTGCTCAACACAGGACCGAGCAATAACAAGTGAGTCAGCCTCCACTGTGGACAGATTTCACAGACGACAGCAGAAGCTTCAGGCTGTCTTTGTCAGAATACTCCAGTACAGTTTGAATGTAGGTTCAACAGAGATTGGTTAGATCAGGTTACACACATACAACTGAAAGCCCAGCTAGATGCGCTCAGATCCTATTTCCTTTTCTCCATTTTATTCGTGTGGCATTCCATAATCAGTGATACATAACAAGCAAAACTGCAAAAATGTTGACAAATCTGTTTGCACCGCTGAAAAATCTTTAAAGAATAGTTTAATAGGATTGTTTTAAGCTGTTCGTAATAATCTCATCAATGTTAAAATGCAGTTCAAATCAAAGACGAAGTAAAAAATAAAAAGCTGTTGTGAATTAACTGCTTTACTGTTAAAGGCAAAGTTTACCTTAAATCTTAAAGTACCTTTATACAACTGATGTACTTTCTTCTCCCTTCAGTTTGACTCACAGGAGCACAGATAGTTAAAGGCTACGCAGTATATTCACAGCGTGTTTGTTCTGCAGGTGGTGTCACAAGGCAGCAACAGCTCAGCGCAGAAAAGATCGCCACAGACAACAAACGGAACATCTAACCCTTGATAATGACCTGAAAGAGGTGAAAAACCATCCTTCTGACTGCTCCCTGGTCTCCACTGTTCTCTAACTCTCTCATCTTTATTTTCTGCTTATTGTTTTGTTCTGTTGTGTAACTACATTTATGTTTCCTTCTGTTTGAGCTTTCTTTGTTTGGTTTATGTTCTGTTTATGCTACCTTCACTGTCTTCTTATGTTCCATTCTTTTGGCTCTGCCGTCTTCTATCTGGCTGTGTGTCCTGTTCCGGTCCGTCTGGGGTCGGGTTGTACCGCTCTTCCTCCTCGAGCAGGTGGAGGGCTGCCTGGTCCTACAGAATTCCATGGCATTTTGGGAGTGGGACAATGCATCCCCTCCTCCTGTCAAACCACCTAAAAAATCTGCTTCTGCTTCCTGCCTGGTATGTGCAGGAGATGCTTGTGTTTTGGATTCCCTCTCATAGCCTCCACCCTCACTTCCACCTACTTTTCCGAGGTTCCCACATTCTCTAAGGCACAATTCCTTGCTGAATAGTAAAAAATATAAAATTCTAAAGGAAAGCAAGAATAAAACAAGAAAAAGAACATCTTTTTGCATATCTGAGGGGTGTTTAGGCTCGGTGAGCTGCACAGTTAGCAAAGGCATATCTTCCAATTCTTTGTTTTGAATGTGCAGCAGTCAAAAATCCAGAGATTCACTTTTAAGGTACCGCAAGTAAATTTTTAGGTCCTTTTAGGAGGAAAAAAGTTGCACTCATATGTAATTGTGTGTTTCAAAAAATTTACATTCTCATAAACTTGTGAGTGAATCCATCAGAAATATATTGGACCTGGCACGAGTTATGGAAACCACCATGTTGCCCTCCCGTCTTGAACACAGCGGTCGAGATTCACCTAAATGCGTGTTATCGTTTCATGTATGTGTATGTATGCATCTACTATGTATGTATGTATGTCATCCTCTTCTGTCTTACCTGAAGCCTCGTCTCCTGACTGAAGTCCGGGCAATAACACAAAAACGTGCATAAACAAGCTTGTTTTTTCTTCATATTGTTGCAATTTGTCACTGTGAGTAGATGAAGATGTGACCATCCCATATCCAGACAGTTATAGCCATTACACCAGTACACCAATGTTAGGCCTCAGTGTCATAAAAAGTCCCATCAGTTTCACTGATGCCATCTAACAGCAGCTAACAATGGCAAAAACAGCAGCTCTTACCAACAGAAACATTTATGATATCTTCAAAAACCTGCCTCAGACAGACTTGAGCTGCACTGACTCATCAACACATGTCCGACTCTTCCACAAAGTTGTACAGCCTCCTTCAGAGTAAATACATATGCAGGCGTATTGACAGCTGAGGGGAACAGCAGAGTGACACCCTACGTTCACTACAGCAGCCTGAGTTGTTTGTCCTACAGCAGACACCATAGCTAGAATTTTCCTCTTAAACTGGGATGGTAAAAAAAAAACAGAATTAATTTAACTGCAATCTCCTGACATCTAGTGGTTTTAGACACTGAACCTTTAATTTGAAAAAAAAAAAAAAAGGACATCAAATACATCATTGACAGTATTTCCAACTATTTCCATGTCATGTTCTGCTTTGAACACTTTAAATGTGAAACAGCAGCAGTGGGAAATCTTCTGTTTGTGAGAACAGTAAGAGCATGGATTTCTCATTTCTGCGAAGCACTCAGAGCTCATTATAGGAAACATTTTGAATTTGGTATGCCATGCTCCAGACTGAGTGATACTTCCTGCCAACACAGCCTTTCTTTAAGGATTCCTCCGATTTTTACTCGCCTCCTGTGTCACACCCTTTAACTTAACTCACTTAAGTTCCTCGAAGTGTCTCACATGAACAAAATTACCATTAACAGTCACAGAACCACTAGAACAGGTTATTAACAGTGTATAAGGAAGGCACGTATTTGTGAGATTGTGCCAGGAGTGAGGATGCTTACCTCAACCTCTAATACGTGTTAACTGCAAACATTCATACAAAAGAATGACACTTTCAGTGCCTGTTATTTAAATCTCACTAAATATCTTCGTCTGCACTTCAGAAGTACATGCAGGAGGCCCGCAGCCTCGGGAAGAATCTGCGACAGCCTAAACTCTCCGACCTGTCGCCTGCCGTGATCGCCCAGACCAACTGGAAGTTTGTGGAAGGGTTGCTCAAGGAGTGTCGCATGAAGGTGAAACAGAACCCCAGCAATGCTTCTGCACTTAGAAATGACCCATGATTCTTGATTCTTGCATGCACTCATTCGCTGTCCTTCATTTACAGAAGTTATTACTGAAAACTGTAAATATATATACAGTTTATACTTCTCAGTTAAAGGGTTACTCTTTTAAACTTAATTATTGACATTTTGCATAAGTGTTTCCAGTTCATTACAGATTTTCTGATGCTTGTTTTAATCAGCTATCATGACCATAGTATTAAATTGCTGCGTATTACACATAAACTGCCACAGGCGTTTCCTGGTAGTCATTACTATTCTTTAAGTTTGTTTCCAAGGGTTTTTACCTGCTTATTAATATGTTATTAAATAGAAACGGGCAGTTTTGCATTTTGCAGCTCTGTTTCCTGTTTATAAACTACCATGGTGAATGAGTGGTAATAACTGTGAAATTACCACATTATTACGTTCTATCAAAATGACTCCCGTAATTTTCAACGATGAACTGCAGTGTGTCGCATAGAGTACCTCCAAATCCATACTAGAGATGGGCCGATCCGATATTACGTATCGGTATCGGTCCGATACTGACCTAAATTACTGGATCGGATATCGGAGGGAAATAAAAAATGTAATCGATCCATTAAATATCAAAAAAGCACCTCACAAAACTTGCAACATGGCGTAACTCGGCTCATAACCGTAGCACGTCGGAGCAGTGTGGTCACGTGATAGAGCGGCTGTGGCCTGTGAAACCTGTCGGCGGCCTGGTTGAGCATTTGGAGCCTCGCTACCAAACGAGCATTTCATCTCCGAGAAAGTGATCCCAGAGAGAAGTAAAGCAAGTGTGTAAGTTCATCTCTGAATGTTTGTAAAGCATTCCAGCATTAAGCTTAACAACCGATATATGGAGCGACTGCCTCTTCTCTCTCCTGCTGCCACTTCAATCAATGATCAGCTGATCGGCTTTTCTGTCGCGAGTCCGTCTCTCTTGTTTGTTTATCGCCCACTTGGCGCCAGAAAGAGGAAACCAGCTGCTGAACAACAGCAGCACGTTTAAGCTTGATCAGCTGTTGTTAGAATTTATTTAATACTTTCTACTCCAGGATCTTTTTCTACAGCTGACGGCTGTAACTGTGCAGGCGCAGATCTAGCAAAGTTTAGCCAGGGGGGCCGATAGGGCATGAACAGCTTTTAATGTAGCTTTTAATAAATAATTACCTGACACCCAAAGTTTTAATCTTTTGTAAAATGTATAGAAGTCCATTACTGTATATAGTAACTGTTAAGTCTAATATACCCTAGTAAGCTATAGTACTTTTTCCTTTGGGTGGGTACCATCGTGCAGTCTGCAGTTCTGTAGAAGAAAGATGTTGAATCTATTTAATTATTGTGGAAAACTAATTGATTTCTGTGCATTTTTTTTCACACTGCATGGAATTAAAGTTGATTACATCGATTAAGCATCATGAGGTGGAGGGTGGGGGGTGGTTCCCTATTTATAATGTGTTTTTTTTTATTGATTAAAAAACACACTATATCGGATTCGTATCGGCCGATATCCAAATTTATCGGTATATCAATATCGGTATCGGACATAAAAAAGTGGTATCGTGCCATCTCTAACCCATACACATAAAAGTTCCTCAACTATGACACAAATTCTCCACAATACAAAGCAAGGCTCTTCTACTCCAGTTTGGCCATTTAGCCATCATAAGAAATGATGAAGAGGCACGTCCATCCACAGAATGCAGTGGTTTTTAATATAACTGGAGGGTAGGTTACATGGATGTGTCATATGCCTTGGATTTTAAGTATCTCAAAGTCACATGTTCATAATATATCACAGTGATTCCTCTAATTGTATGTGGGTGTGTAGACCAAGCGTATGCTGGTGGAGAAGATGGGCCGCGAGGCGGTGGAGCTGGGTCATGGCGAGGCCAGCATCACTGGATTAGAGGAGAACACTCTGATCGCCAGTCTGTGTGACCTGCTAGAGAGAATCTGGAGCCACGGGCTGCAGGTCAAACAGGTCAGCACACACACTGAAATAAAGATATATACAGTGCTGCACAAATGTTAGGTTTCTTCAACACGCTATAGATGTTGAGGTTCCTCCCTCTGTGTGTGTGTATAATGTGATGCCTCATCCATCGGTGCAATAACTGCTGTTATGTGTGTCATTTCTGTCCTCGGCTCTCTCATGCTGATCGTGATGTTTCAGGGGAAGTCTGCTCTGTGGTCTCACCTGCTGCACTATCAGGCCCGGGAGGAGATGCTGGCGCAGCAGGCTGACTCACCAGGTAACATACACGTACACACACGCAGTCGAAAGCCTCAGTCACATGTTAAAGCATCAACAAAAAATCCATCTCTCCTTGTAGCGCCTCGCCTTCTTGAGAGGAGGAAGTCTGATAGTTCCATAGCGATGCCTTCTCTGCGTGTGTCTCTCATTCAGGATATGAGGTATGATCTTGTTGTCATAAATCCTTTGCACTGTCCAAGCCTCTTCTACAACAGGTAGACTAGAGTAACACTGTTTAGGTGTTCCTGTTAGTATTAAACATCATATTATATACAGTATACTCGCTGCACGTACTGTAAACACGTAGTTTGTATGTCCGTGTTGGTGCATCTGTGAAAATGTATAAAATCTGTAACTGAAGTTAAAGTAAATAACTTTTCCTTCATCTTAAAACCACGGCGTTATTCTTCCTCTCCGTCTGTCCCAGGCATATCCAGAGTATGTCAGAGATCAAGACGGACGTTGGCCGAGCCAGAGCCTGGATTCGCCTGTCCCTGGAAAAGAAGCTGCTCTCTCAGCATCTCAAACAGTTGCTGTCGCGACAAGCCTTAACCAAGTAAGCATTTTGGTGACTGAATCCCACCTTCATATTTACATGTCGTGCACTATTAAACAAACATTTTGCAGTCGTTTTCACAGTTAGGGTTTGCATACAGTTAAAACACATGACACAAAGTTGTAGAAAACCCTCCGTTTTATACGATGTGGGAGAAAGTGGCTCTTTTTTGTGTGGCTTGATCATGCCACAGGGGGCAGCAGTGAGCACCCTGAGCCACACCAGTGCAGCACTGGGAGTATTTTTCTGCTGTATTCATTTACAGAAGGTAAAAGGTCCATCTGGCCGAATGACATTCCCACTTGACTTCCACACATCCATTTCTGAGTGAAGTATAACTGTAAGCTTCCCTGCACGCCTCCATTTTGCCCCTTCAAACAAAACAGAAGGGTTTCAGTTCATTGCTAGTTTCATGGTCGGGCTCTCTAATTGTTAGTCTAGAAAGATAACGTTTTATTTTGTTGTTTAGTTATTAAGGGTGCAAAAACTGTCAAACTAAAAAGACTTTTGACATGGATGTTGATGAGGAGAGATGTGATGTACTTCGCTGTATCTGAACCTGACTTGACTGACCGCCACAGGAAGCTGTACAAACGTTACGCCTTCCTGCGCTGTGAGGAGGAGAAGGAGCAGTTCCTCTTCCATTTGCTCTCTCTCAATGCTGTTGACTACTTCTGCTTCACCAGTGTCTTCACCACCATCAGTGAGTTTTCCATCAGCTACACATAACCTCTGACCTCTGGCCACCCACAGCAATGCTTTTCTTGAACAAAAGAAACGTTTTAAGACGAGAAGCTTTAGGTGATTGGAAACAGCAAATTATGCTGTTAAATATGTCACATATCAATGTGTATTTTTATGAACTGTATATATACACGCACACATATAAACGTATATGGAACTGAAATTGTGTGTCAGCAGCATTTCTATGAAAAGAGGTCGTGTTGTTGTTTATAATGAGGTCGTGTTGTTTATAATGGCATGACATCAAACTCCTGGAAAGCCCTTCAGCCCTCCTGCACCACCTACTGAAGCCTTACAGTAAAAATGTCAGTTACTTTATTCATAGAGCTACGGATCAATAGCTGACTGTGAAATTGTGAGGCTTTTTTTGTCTTTTTTTGCAGTGATCCCATACAGAGTCGTCATCATCCCCATCAAGAAGCTGAGCAACGCTATGACCACATCCAACCCCTGGGTGTGCGTCTCAGGGGAACTGGGAGACTCGGGCATCATGCAGATCCCCAAGAACGTATTAGAAATGACCTTTGATGTGAGTACTGTGACCTTTGACCTCCCACAAGTTGACCATGCTGTCAGCCACTCTGATGTTGTGTGCAGGCATTGAGTTTGTGTTTTCTATGTTTCACTCCTTGTCACTGTTTGTCAAACATCACATGCTGCACTGAAGCTTATTTAAAGCCACAGTAATCAAAAACCAGTGTTTCTTAAAGGTGCTGTAAAGAGAATAGTTCATCCCAGAAGTCTCGGGACAAGGCTCCAAAACATGAAGTGATATGTAAAATGCTTCTTGCCTTGGCTTCAGCATTTCTTGAATAGGCAATATTGGACTGGAGAGTTAGTTCCCATAACTTCTGGAGAATTTCTCCTGCTCTGTGTCCATGTTGCACGAGTTTTGCAGTTTTAAGAACTAAGGTTGGGCGAGTGGATGAATGCATCGACGATAGGCCGAGCCTTTCGCCGATCATTTTTACAAGAGCCATTCATGTATTTGCCCATGAGCAAGTTTGCTAATAATTTTGGTTGAACCCAGTAGAAGGAGCCAATGGGAAAAATAATAACACTGTTTTAACGGCACTGCCTTCCAGCTGCAGGCACATGCAGCCTCCTCAGAGTGCGCCCAAATTCAGCCATTCATTTCCTCAAACTCATAACAGAAAGAAAGAAAAGCAGCAGCCTATGTTAAAAAAAACCAAAACTTTATTACATTATTTACATTTTAAAAACCCACAATGGAGGGAGGGCAACAAAGAAACTGGCTTCTGTTCCCCATTAACAGTGTTTATCCGTCTTACACACCCGACCAAACAACAAATACAAAATGAAACACAAAGTAAGTTAAAAATAAAAATGTCTCCTCCAGCTAACATAAAAATAAATCTTTGATGTAACGTTAAGTCTTTTGTGCGATTTGGTGCATCTTAAATAAATGAATAATCCAAAAAGTAGCTATAATAACTCTGAAACAAACAAGAAAAGAAAGTAAAATATTCGCTGCAAACAAAACGTATGAATTCACAAAAAGTCGCCTGCGCGAGTTTATCGCCCATCCTGACTAAGAAGCATTTAAAGCTGCTGTTTTAGTTCTAAAAGGGAACCATCACATTCACAGCAGTCTACTTCCTAAGCCCTAAACAATTCTCCTTTTACCTCAAGAAACTTTCCATCAAGCAAGATCGATTATGAAGTGATGTAGGTCATGTGAAGACTGCCCTCTAGTTGCACTTCTATGCAGTGCACTCCAATAAATCAATTTTGTTTTACAGTGTCAAATCATGCAAGTAGGATTTCTGTGAGCCAAGCCTAGTTTGCATGCATGAGTGATGTTTTATTGTCCATTCTTTGTGTCTTAACGTATGTTTCCATCTCCCTCAGTCTGCTTTCAGGCCTCACACGCACATCTCTGCCATATTCAAGGTTAGGCAAAGCCCTTGCTCTACAGCTCCATCTCCCACCATCAAGCGTATCCCTTTGAAATGCTTGCTTTTCTTTTCTGTGTTTGACTTGCTCAAAGTTGCTCCTTTACCCTGCGTACATGAGTGCTGACTGAAGTTGTGCTCTGTGTGTCTTTGCTGGAGCTATTAGGAAAATATGCTGAAGGAAATGTAAAAAATAAATAAAAAGTAAAACGTTTGTGCCCAAATAACTGAATTAACCAGAGACAGACAAGTATATCATGCACAGTAATGAAAGAGAGTAGGATCTGATATTGTATTGATTAACTAGTTGCTCTCTGTGTTCAGTGTCAGAACCTGGGGAAGCTCACCACGGTGCAGCTGGGTCACGATAATGCCGGCCTCCTGGCTAAATGGTTGGTGGACTGTGTGATGGTGCGGAACGAGATCACAGGACACACCTACAGGCGAGTAGAGGACCTGTCTTTGTTCTGTTGTTGTTACTCATTTAGTAAACGTCCCTCACGTGCTTTTCTGTGCAGCCAAATTAGATTGTTGTAGACCTCAGACAACATTACGACCAATAAGAGTGCAGCTAGCAGCCGATAACCGTCCTGTCATGAGTGTAACTGCTGGCGCACGCGTGTCACACTCTGGGCATTTAATAGTTTGCTGTTTCTCGGCAGTTTTGATGAATTTAAAATGAAAATTAATAAAGTGTTTTTTGTTGTTAGTGAGTTAAAAAAGGCATATTCATTCAGCATTATATTATATTATAGAGACATTTGTTAAATTAACTGGAACGTGTGGCTCACTGACAATATTGGAGGTCAATTTTGTTTGTATAACCCAATCAGAGAAAATATTAAATTGTTTGTTTCTCATAACGTCAAAAAGCAGACAAGAAAAGAAACAAGACACAAAGAGAGAAGATCAGAGCGGAGACGTGTGGAGAAAGAACAAACCGATATACGGATGGAAAACGCGTAGATTTCGCCCGCCTGTGTGTCTGAACTAGGGATGGGTATCCGGTGCCATCATGGCACCGGTTCTGACATAAACGGTAGTAACCAGACCGAAAAGCAGCGCACATTTCGGTGCTTTATTTCGGTGCTTTTTTTTCCTGAGCTGTGATACACTTTAGATTCTAGCCAATCATTTTACGTTTCCGAGGATAGTAGGCGGGGCCAGGTACGTACGTTCTGTTAGAGCAGAGCTACAGATTAAAAATGTCCAAGGCGAAGCGGTCAAAGTCTGGCTGTACTTCACAGCAAAAGATGCAAACTCAGCAGCAACAAGTGCTTTAAGCTGATACTGTGATACTGTCAAAGGAGGTAACACCTCGAATCTGATGAAACACCTGGCGACGCATAGCGGTTTTTTAAAAGCCCAGAAATGCGCCGTATTTGATAGCAGCAGCAGCCGTTCTTCTCTGCGTGAGTCGCTTAATGTTGTTCGAGTGTAATTTACGTTGAGTAGGCTAACCACGTTATTACATTAATGCATGTAAGGTGAACTAGCAAACATCATCATAGCTACATGCGGCTGTCTTCTTGTTTGATGGCAGATACTCCCTTCACCCTGGACAAAAAGGCTAAAATGACCAAAGAAAAAGTGGGAAACCTCACTCATGTCATTGCCTGGCCCTATTTGGTTCATAACAGACAGAAAGAACATTACCTTAAAAAGGTACAAGAGGTTTTTGGACAAAGTTTGTGTTTTTTCCATTGTTTAAGCACTGCTTCCAGCCAGGAGTGATACCATATATGCCCCATAGCTGCAGAAAAGGCTAACATTGTTATCTTTTTACAAAAAACAGCTGAACATGAGAGGTTTTTGGACCCATTTTGTGTTCTCCATTCTTTAAGCACCGGTTTGAGCACCGTTTGAGCTCCGGCACCGTTTCAAAAGTACCGATTTGGCACCGGTATCGGATAAAACCTAAACGATACCCATCCCTAGTCTGAACCACATTTAGTACATCACCCTCTGATGCACACCAAGTGCTAGTTAGTAGGAACCATTCTGCGTGTTTGTTGATAGCAAGTCAAATATAAAATATCTCCCCTGAAAATCAGAAGAACAAATAGAAAGATGCCAACAGATGTAGAGCGTCGATGTGTAACCTCAGCACCTTGTTGTCCATCAGGTTCCCCTGCGGTCGATGGCTCGGTAAGGGTGTGGATGACGGCAGCCTGGAAAGGGTCCTAATCGGGGAATTAGTGTTGCCCAGCGGAGAGGATGATTCTGCAAGGGCCTGCCGTACACCCCCGCTACAGCGTTCACCTTCCCAGGGCAGACGCATCAGCATCACATCGCTCACCGGACGAGATACCAGTCAGTAACTGTCAGCGTTCTCACACAACAGGAAATCTCTAATACTGAGAATGAAATGTTTTCATTTCCTGACAGGTTTTGCCGCACTTTCTGATATTTGAAGTGCAGGATTTTAAATAGATTTTATCCACAGTAGGAACAAAAGATGGTCTGTGTGCAATTACTCAGTCATCCACTACCTCACTAAACACTTTCAGGCTCTATCGATGTTTTCATTATTTTAGAGCTTTTATGTGCAATGAATCTCATAATATCATCAAAATAAGACTGCCAGGCTTCCATTAAATGCTTTTTTAAAAACCCTTTCTGCAGTAGTTTTTTGGAAACTTTAAGGCATATCAACTTCTATAATAATAATGATAATCTCTTTATTAAGCTGCCAGGAACTCAATTATATGGGTAATTCTTAAAATGTGGTTTAAAGCTCAGACTTCCATTGCAGCTCAAAAATGCAGCGTTTCCAGGAAGGATGGTAGCTACAGACATTAGCTGTTGCTACCTCAGGCTGTCAGGGTTCAGAGGTCTGTAGCAGTCTGTACTGATGCAGATCTTTTCCCCATTCTAGAGCTGAACTCAGCACAAATCCAAGAGGGGATTGGGGAGGCAGTGAACAACATCATCAAACACTTCCACAAACCAGAGAAAGAGGTCAGTGACTTTCAGCACTCTGAAATCCTTTTCTAATGAGTGCGTGCCTTATAGCTTAACTACTGCTATGCTGTCTGTGAATTCTGAGTAGTGTGGGTTCTGTTTTCCTGTTTCCATCAGGGAGTGCATTCATTATGTGTCCATAAGTAAAGTTGTGCTTTGACCATAGAAAGTCTGAAAGAGTGATGATCTTTCAAGTTGTAGTCATTTCTCTTCAGTGACAGTCTGTCACAGCACATTGTTGAATCGAATTTCAGAGGTACTCCAACGTTCATGGGAATAGTGTAATTAGCAAAAAGTGTTGCCAAGTTACCTGCCCACACATGCAAGCTTCGTTACATGTGTGTACTAAGTAACAGACAAAGTAACAGCGTCACTTGCCAAATGTCAAACTTCTTACATTGTATCAACATTTGCTTTTGTGCATTGACGTGTTGATGTGTGTTGCACAGAGAGGCAGTCTGACTGTTCTGCTGTGCGGCGAGAATAGCTTGGTCGCGGCTCTGGAACAGTTCTTCCATCACGGCTTCAAATCTGCCAGGCTCTTCCAGAAGACTGTGTTTGTGTGGGACTTTGTGGGTGAGTGTGAAGAGACGGCACGCTCTGCTGCTGATGAGGAAAACTGTTCAGTTTGGCCCATGGCAGAAAATCAAGGGCTAAACTGTGTTACAATGTGTACTGGTTTTACTGGATTAAAGAAAAAATGTGTCATGTGTCATGGTTTTTATACATGTTTGTAGAGGATTATACAACATTTACAATTCTTTTTGTGTAATCTGGGCTTTCAAATGAATTTGTAACATAGCCTTCAGCCTAGTGTTCTCAGTTTGTTGAGCTGTTACACAACAGTAGAGAGCTTTAAGTAAGCTGATATGGTGTGTGATGCTCCTCTAAAACCCTACAGAGAAGGCTGTTGCCTACATGGAGTCAGCTGACCAGGTGGGAGACCTTCAGGAGACCACTGAGGCCATGAAGATGACCTGTCAGTCACTCTGTCATTACTTCAATGCGATCAACTCCACCTCCAGAAACATCGGCAAGGACGGAAAGTTCCAGTTGTTAGTCTGCCTCGGAGCCAGGTCAGTGTGGAGACAACGAGTTCATGTAAATTATGTTGTGAGCTGTGATGGAAGCTGTTCCTGCGCAGGTGTGGGCTCTGATAGCATCTTTTGATATGTGATTATTCGATCAGAAATTTGACATATTAAAAACATGTCACGATTGTGGTCAGAAGTTTTCATTTGTCTTGGATTTCCTCTAGGGCAGGGGAGACAGGACAAAATAAATGCTCACTGTCGAGGCGAGTGCTGTGTGGCTGGCAGCAAATGCAGGACTCTCAGACGTCAAGAGTGAAACTCTAATAGCAGCTTTCATTCAAACAAAATAACTCAAACCTGAAAACTAGAAATTAAACTGGACTCAAGAACTAAATACTAAGAAACATGAACTAAGATTTAGTCATGAACACAGACAGGAAACCACCAGCATGGTGAGGGTACGCCACGACACAAAGCAAAGAAAACACAGGGCTTAAATACACACCAGAGTGATCAGAGTGGGAAACGGGAGGGAAACACAGCTGGGATTAACTAGCCAGAACGAGACAAAGGAAGCAAAACTAGATACATTGACATGAGACGAGGGACCGCCAAAATAAAACAGGTATAACAAAGATGTGGACTTGACACTGAGACAGAGAGACGTGGCTGACCGGGAAGACAGAGGGAACACGAGGACGAGTGTGACAAGACGAGGAACATGAGACAGCCTAATGACAAAAACCACAACCATAGGACTAAAAATATAACACAGCAGAACCAAAACCCACGAATTACAATAATTAAAGAATATAACTAAAGCTCACAAACACTGAGTCACAGGCCACAGGTGACATTTGGCTTGTTTTCTTTTTTCTTTGTTTCTCTTCACTGTGGCAGAAGTTAATGATAATTAAATGCAAAGTGGTGTATAAATACATGGTGAGTGAAGAAGGAAGGCACAATGTATCATGGGAAGAAGCCCCTAGGAGCCTAGGCCTAGTGCAGCATAGTTAAAGAAGGGTCACCTGATACAGCCCCAACTACAACCTTCATGAGAAAGGAAAGTTTTAAGCTTAATCTAAGTAGAAAACCTGCTTTTCTCCTGAATCCAAACTGAAAGCTGAGGGTTCTGCCTCCCATTCTACTTTTAATACCCTAGGAACTAAAAGTAATCCCACAGTCTAAGCGCAAAGTGCTCCTTTGAGATGATATAGTACTTTGAGCCAGGGAGCCGATCCTCTTCATTGGGCATAGATCCTAGAAGGAACCTTCAGTGGATTCTGCACATTCCCAGTCACCAGAGCCTTCAGTGGGTCCTGCACAGGCTGAACATGAGCAGAGGGTCCCATGTTGTCTGAGCCAGATGGCTGCTACTTTCAAAACTAGCAGATTGTTGTGCTTCACCATCAGTTGTTTTAAATTCAGCTACCAGCTCGGCTTTCCCTCAGCCGTTAGTCTCCCGGCCTTTCTCCTTGTCTTCGGCCTCCTCCCAAGCATTGCTGGCCTCCCGTTGGGCCACCAGATGGGCTCTGCCGTAGCTGCTGCTTCCCTGTCTTGCCTCACCATCGCTGGCCAAGTCATCTCTGGTAGTCCACCGTCTTCATTGCTGGGCTCCTGTTCTGTCTTCTTATGGACAGCCTGCTCTCAAGACTCCTGAGGGTTTCATTTGTTCTCCAGAGGGGCTTCAACTTGTCTTCTTCTGGCCTCTTTCCCAAGTCTCTGTCTTCATTGCCGGCCCTGTGTTGAGCCTCCGGATATTCCACCTGTCATGCTTCATCTCAATACCAGACCCAGTAATCCACATTGCTTATCTTTTTAGTCCTGTTGAAAATCTGCAGTCTCACCACTGATTAACATTTAAGTCGATTTAACTCTTACTACGTTTAACTGACACAGACTGTTTACTTATCATATTGTTCATAGCATAAGCACACACATTTACTATACACTACACATATTAAATTGTCTGTCTCATTATTACAGTTAATAAAACTAAAGCTAACACTGCTGTCGGTATGCAGAAAAACATTGTTCACTGAAATTAAAATTAAACTGGACTCTTGAATAAGACTAAACCAAATCATATTGTGCGTTCAACTAAAACCAAACTAAACAATACATATGCACAACCAAATCATATGCACAATATGATTTGGTTGTGCATATGTATTGGAAACCACCAATATGTATTGGTGGTTTCCAATACATATTGAATTAAAAACCAAACTGGCCCCTATCAGTTTGGTTTTAGTTGAACTGTGCGTTCAACTAAAACCAAACTGATAGGTTTGTAGCTTGAACCTATTCGCTGGAACGTTGAGGACAATATAACTACACAGCAAGCAAGACACGAGTAGGCAAAGGTCTTCATGTTACTCATGCATGAGGGAGGCCTGCCTGGAGCCAAGTGTCGTTCCACCACTTGACCTCCGTCAGACTCTCAGCCAGGCTCCCCATAGCACTCCTTTTATTGTGGGTACATGAATATGCATAGGGTCATTAACATATAACATCTTACATAGGTTTACATGTGAACAAAGAATACTGTGTATGTGTGAGGTCAAGATGTGACCCTGTGAAGACTCCCCAAAGGCTGGTGCCAGGAGTCTAGGGCTCCATCTGAACAAAAGGCTCTTATACTTAAAGAAATATACGTGTGTTTGCTAAACCATATCTCAGCAAGAGAAGATACGACCTCTCCTAGGAGGTGTGTGATCTATGCCAGAACACTCTGTAGAGGAGTGAACGCACCCCCCTCTTCATGCTACACAGAGTTGTTACAGACCTCCTAGGATGAGACATTCGTTCAATCTACAAATGATTATACACCTCTAAGCATATATGGTTAAATATTTCTAAGCATAAATGACAATCAACACTACAAAACCTAACACAAACTAAACAATAATTAGGAGATGTCCTTGGGTTGAGTCTCTGTCAGTGTGGTCAGGATTGTCACCTCAGCAATGGGAGGCTTTGTGTAGCAACTCAAACTGAAGCTAATTCAGTTCAGTTGTGTTTATATAGCAACAGTCACCTCGAGGCGCTTTATCTTGTGACATAATGCTACAATAATGAATAAAAATAATCAAACCAAACTGAAACTAACATTTTTTTTAAAACTAAATTGAATTAAAAATTGAAATTTAAAATGTGATAAACTGTGAAGTTTTAATAATTCTGATCTGATCACTGTTGGCCCCACAGAGACCGCCTGCTGCCCCAGTGGCTCCCCCTGCTCGTGGAATGTCCAGTGATCCTGCAGATGTATGAGGACACAGCAATGCTCAGAGACCCTTCCACTCTCAATACCCTTATTAGCGTCCTTGAGGCTCTGCACGACTTCTCCATCACACTGGAAGCCTCGCTGGTCAAAGGCATCAACCTTTAGCTCCACAGGACTGGTTAATTTTCTGTCCTCCTCTTCAGTTCACTCTGTCCGTCTAACTGTTAGCTCCTTGGCCTTGTGATTAGATGGATGATAAGGTTTGGAGGACATTAAATTGAAAGGACAATTTGGAAACCAAAGCAATAAGTTCCACATGTTCTCATGTTGCTTGATTCTTCATGGGAGACGTTAAAATTTGTGGGTGACCCATGAGCTTGGATGCAGTATTTCCACTCTTCCTGTGAATTTCAAAGACTATTTAAACAAAAGGTCAGACCAAGGATCTGTAGTTTTTTACTTGATGAACTAATGCTGTTCATCACAGTGCACAGGTTTCTGCAGACATATCAGCTTTTAGAAGCACTTCCTGCCTTCCATGTATCCTTTGTTATTTCAGTACACTTGGAAAATGACTGTTTGGCTTCCTGCTCACATTAAACTCAAGCTGCAAGTCAAAAATCTGTTCCAAAAAGACTTTTGCAAAGCAAAAAAAAATTCACTGTCACGTTTGAGGGAACTACTTTTTATATTCCCAAAAACTGTTCATCTGGACGTAGCGGTGGCCAAGCGTACGACTGAAGAAGTCACTTGGATGAGGGACGAAGCGTCCAGATGAACAGAATCCACTTTTTGGATTTCCTTACCTTGATGATTGAGCATGAAAATACTTTCTATATTGTTTTTGCTTTAAGGTCTTTTCTAGGCTGCAGGATTGTCGTTGCTGATATGAATCACAGCATCTTTCTGCCTTATTGATTCTCTTAGTGTACTGAAATATGGCTGCTTGGAAGAAAAACAAAAAATTGAGTGCATGCTGAAATGACAGCATAGAGACATAGCTGTAGCAGCAGACATGTAACAGCTGTGTGTAGCATAGCCCCCTTCAGTTGGTACGAGTAGATGCATTATCTTACCTGTAACTGTTGGTTATAGTAGCATCAACCTAACTGTTGTTAGCGTGAGCAACAATGCTTTTGTGCACGGAAAGAGTACGATGCCATGAAGAGACTGAGGGATCACTGACACAATGACAGACCCAGTGTTAAGAGTTTAACCTGTGGCTAACATTCCTACCTACATTATACATCTATGTCTCACTTCACAGATGTGCGCATGTAAGATCAGGTTTTAAGGCTGTGTGCCTTACAAACTCAATTACACCATCTGCCTACACACAAATTCATGTAGGATTTCTTGCCAGTTTGCCAGTTTCAACAACTAAATAACAGCTAAACTGTAACATACAGGCTCATCTAAGAATGAAAAATGAATTTCAGCTGATTTATGCCTTTTCCTTGAAACCAGCGTGTGTGGGCCAAACTCCTACACTATGGAGATACCTGACACATTAACAATATACGACAGAAATGAATTCAAGTATAACATTAATGAATTAAAGTCCTGGCAGTTATTAAACTTTTCCACAAAACGGTTCTTTCAAAAACAATAATCAGTATACACAGTTCAGCTTTTTACTGCATTCATATCAAACATCAGGAATAAGCTGAAACTTTAGAACGTTTACTTCACAAAATGACGTTTCTATAAACAAGACTGAATGTAATAGCACCCATTTCTCACCAATTAGCATAGGAAGCGGGAAGTAGCAGGTTTATGGTCTTAACAACTTTCATGCTTGTGTGTGTGTCATGATTCCCGTAAAGTCCCACTTCAAGCCAGTCACAGGTTACGTTTTTAGTCCCTGTGCAACAGCCGCAGTAGCACTGGCTGTTTATACACCGTTTAAAATCTAGATTTTATTTTTTGTAATAAAGCAAACTAGCCTATGCTAAGCTAAATGTTCTTTAATTGTATAAAGGGGTTTTTATGTAAACTGCAGACTTGGCATAAATGGATGAATTTCACAATTAGAATCGTTAACCTTGTTTTCTGTGGTCCATAAATGTGTCATGAAGGGACGCGCCATATTTGTGTTTCACCTCCTCTAAATGCGCTCAAAATGTAAATATGTTTGGCAGCAGAGAGTAAAATGTTTGGAAATGTGTATCTTGGGCAGATGTCCTATCTTTGAACTTTTGCAGCATTAGCAGTTTTGTGTTGCCTCTTGCTAAATGGATACTTTCTGGTGTACATATTGTCAACGCACGCTGTCATTTAAGCTGTATTCATGTGGCACTCTAATGGATTACAAATAGCAGGGGAGTTTATCTGCTTTGTTACGACAAAATGTGGACACAGTTGCATTTCTGCTGTTTCCAGAATGGAGTATGTGATGGGCAACACATCCTGCCTTCCTGTCTTTTTAATTTATATTGACTTTGACTGGCTGACAGCAGCACTGGTGTTTTATGGTGGACAAACCTGTGGAGTAAGTCGATGCGTCCTAAGCACCTTTAAAGTAGCCACTATTTCTCCTTCATGTGCCCCTGCTGATTAACCTGTGGGACTATTGACAGCTCCAAAGCACAGACATGGATTCCTCCACCGCTTCCTGGACGTCTTTATGTACGGACTATTTTTCTGGCAGCACCAGAAACGACGTGTGGAAGATGACCATCCACCCTAGTAGTCACACTTCATGCCAGCGTTGGGACTGACTGCTCTCTACTGATATTTATTGTTCCTCAATAAAACACCGAAGTCTAAGATGTGTGTGTGTGTGACATGTATAATTTTTAAATATAATAATATTATAAAATAAAATATATTTCATGCCAGGAAGTCACCACTTTTAGACTCAGTTGCTTGCTAATCTTGAGCAAAGTTTTAGTAGAGGTTACACTGGCTGTTGCTTATTTTGTTTTGCATGTGTATTGCTTATTGGATAAATAAAGTATTTATCTCATGTCAGTCAAAAATGTTGCTACAAATACTCTTTGTAACAGCTGAAATTCTAATCTTGTTATCCTGTTGTAACTAATGAATTTCTCCTTTGGAGGAGTAGTGGTTTTTTTCAGTTTCACAGATAGTTATATAACACATGCAGTGCTTTACCTGCTTGCAAGAGAGAGACTCATTAGAGATCATGTTTAAAAATTCTAATTTTATTTGTCACACACACAGTCATACACAGTACGATATGGAGTGAAATGCTTACACAACTGCTCGTGACCTAAAGAAAGAAAGAAAAGGCTATGAATAAGATGGGAAATAAATATGAAAATTAAAAAGGGTAAATTTAACTAGGATGGAATAAAATAAAATATAAAACTGAAATAACTGTACAACACAAATTAGAATGAAGGGTAAATTTAACTGGGAAAGAAGATAAAATATATAAGTTAAAGTTGAAAATAAAATAACTGTACAACACAATACACAGTATAGAAATATATAAGAATGTATGAAGAAATACAAATATAAATATACAATAACAGCAGCTGTACAAGTATTAAATGGAAATGAAGAAATAGAAGATTTTTAGGCCAAAGTGCAATAAACTCAGAGTTCTCAGAATTTAAAAGTAGCAAGTTATGGATGCCTGTAGTTAAACTAGTTGATTTGTGTCATCTGGATGTGTGTATCACCTCCATAGAAAAAAACATATTCAATTCAATTTTATTTATATAGCGCCAAATCACAACAAAAGTCGCCTGAAGGCGCTTCATACATACAGAGAAAAACCCAACAATCATGTGACCCCTATGAGCAAGCACTTTGGTGACAGTGGGAAGGAAAAACTCCCTTTTAACAGGAAGAAACCTCCGGCAGAACCAGGCTCAGGGAGGGGCGGGGCCATCT